AGAGAGAAAGAGCACAAGCAGGGTGAGGGGCAGAGGGAGAGGGAGAAGCAGGCTCCCCGCGGAGCAGGGAGCCCGACACGGGGCTTGATCCCAGGACCCCGGGATCATGACCCGAGCCGAAGGCAAACGCTTAACCGCCTGAGCCACCCAGGCGCCCCCACAGAATCATTGTTAGGCTTAGGGAAGGTAATACACGTAAAGTGCCTAGAACAGAGCCTCGGCGGTTCTTGGGGTTTTCAGACTCTATTATTTCCGCTGACACAACCTTCTGCAGGGAAAGTTCTTAGATCTTTCTGAGGTTCCCCAGCCTTTGGGGATGTCACTCCTCATGACAGTTGGTGTTACATCACATGGCTGATGAGGGGACTGAGGTGCACGTGCAATTGCACCTCCACGCTCTTATGCTCAGGGGGAGGGGGGAGGAGGAGGCTCCAGCTCCCACCTCAGCAGGCCTGCACCTCTCTCCTTGGCTGCCCCTGACTTGGGTCCTGCATGCGTGCACCCTCATCCATCTCCCTTGTATCCTGATGGCCTGTGTGTTGTTTTCGCCTGGGCTTCAGCCTGGCTTTTATTCTCCCCAGAATGTTTAGATTTGCAGAACTCTTTTCTTAAGGTTTTATATATTTATTTGAGAGAGAGCGAGCACGAGCAGGGGGAGGGGCTGAGGGAGAAGTGGACTCCCCACCGAGCAGGGAGCCCGATGCGGGGCTCGATCCCAGGACCCCGGGATCACGACCCGAGCCGAAGGCAGACGCCCAACGGATGGAGCCACGCGGGCACCCCTGCAGAGCTCTTGAGTGAGCAGTCTTTGGTCTCCTTGAAGCTGCTTGCTGACTCACTCTGCTGGCTGTTTTGTCCTCAGCTGCCGGAGAAAATAGATATCGGCTGGAATAAAAAGATGCTGAGAACTGCTGGCTTATGCACCACCGGCGAGACCCGTTACCCGAAGAAGCAGCGTTACGCGAAGATCGAGATTTCGCTGAAAGTCTGCGACTCTGCAGGTGACGGCAGCTTCCCTCCTGTGCCCTTTCCTTGTGTGGTGACTCGTAGGGACTGCTATTTCCCGGCAGCCTCTGCCACAGCTTTACCTGTCCTTCCTGGGTAGATAGGCCTTCTGCGCCTTGCTCGGGGGACATGATCTTTTTTTTTTTTTTAGAATTTTTGGAAAGCATTTATTTATTTCTTTTAGAGAGAGTGATTTATTTCTTTTAGAGAGAGAGAGAGAGAGCACGAGCAGGGGGAGAGGGAGAGAGAGAATCTGAAGCAGACCACGCCGAGCACAGAGCCCGACGTGGGGCTCGATCTCATGACCCCGAGATCGAGACCTGAGCCAAAATCAAGAGACCGACTGAGCCACCCAGGCGCCTCTGCTCAGAGGACATGATTATCAGATGTCTCTCCAGCCCCGAGAATCCAGCGTGGCTGTCTTTCCGTTAGGCTAACTGTCTCTCAGCAGGTAGCTCCCTGTTGCTGGTGGCAATGTCTGCATTCACCCGGTAACTGAGGTTCAAGGTCCCCCCCCAAAAGCTAGCCAATCACCAAATCTTCCAAATGACCCTCCTGTCCTCGGTCCTTTGCCTCCGCCCAGGTGTGGGGCCCTGTCACCTCACTCTTCATCTCCATTCAGTCTCCAGCGCGCCACCATGCCGCTTCCGGCTAAGCCACCTGGGGCTGGTGTGTGGCGGGGGCGAGAGTCTGGGGGTGGTTGAGTGGCAGACCGGAGGGAATCGGTTCAGGTGCTCATGATTTCTTTCCATCCCTCTTCCAAGACCGTCTCCGGGATACTTTGATCCATGAGATCTGCCACGCAGCCTCCTGGCTTCTCGACGGCATCCGTGATTCTCATGGTGATGCATGGAAGTATTATGCCAAGAAATCGAATATGGTGCACCCGGAGCTGCCCATGGTCACTCGTTGCCATAATTACAAGATTAACTACAGGATCCATTATGAGTGTACTCAGTGCAAAACCAGGTAAGACCCTCCGCCTCCGACTTTCTTCGGTTACTTTTCTGTTACGGCCTCCAGCCCAATGGCCCTTTGTGATTTTGTGAGTAAGTCCATGGCTGGCCGACGTGAGGAGTAAACCTTCTCTGCTCCTTTCCACGTCTTCTTTCTCCATGCTCTCCTACTTGGAGCCGGCCAGAGAGTCTTGCTTTGGGCCCAAGGCCAGCAGCTCCGAGAGCACGCTGAGGTACAGTGACTGATCTCTTTGCTGTGTGGTGTCTCTTTCCTCATTAGGGTCGGCCGCTATACCAGATCCTTGAACACCGATCACTTTATCTGTGCCAACTGCAAGGGGCCTCTGGTCATGCTGCCGCTAACTCGCAAGGATGGAACCCCCATTGCACCCCATGTGAGGCCCTTTGCTAAGTATGTGCAGGAGAATTATAGAACGATTAAGCATGAGACGGATGGGATAAGCCATGGGGATGTGATGAGGCAGCTGAGCAAGGATTATGTCGATAAGCAAAGGCAGGATCGTTGAGGTTATCTGGGGGTGTATTTCTGTGGGCTGAGCCCCCCCGCCCGCTAAGAAGTTTCAGAAAAATATCTCTGTTTCTGATAAGCGATGAATATTAGGAATAATAGGATTTAAACTGTTTCTTTATAGCCTCATACTGTTAATGATGATTGTTCTTAAGAAAGGATTCTGTTGCTAAGCGATTTTGTGCCCTTGACGGTACTCACAAGCCCTTTGGATCCACTCTGGGTATCAGTTAGTTTTAACATAGTTCTAACACGTAGAACACAATGCAGACACAAACTGTGTTTTCAAGAGGGGCAGGTGGAGAGAAGGAGAAGGATGCTGGGAGGTGAACCAGTTTTAAAGGCAGCACTCCAAGACCAGGGCTGCCAGCAGGTGGAACCTGTGAAATTTACCTAGACATAAAAGACAAGCATATTTCAGGAATTCAGCTGCTCTTGAGATTGAATAAAGCCGCGCTGAGCCAATGTAGTTGTTACTAAGACAAAAAAAATAAAATGTTTTCTGCGATTTGCTTATTAACGGGGTCTGTTCATTGACAACCTGTGCCTCGCGTAGAACCGGCCCTCAGGTCTTTCGTCCAAGACCCCAGACCTCGGAAGTGCTCCAGAGTGTGTCTGCAAGAGCACTCTCCATTCTGGGCTTGTCTAGGAATTTTGTGACTGCCTGTAAGCACTTCGGCAGCCTCCCCACTCCTGGGAGATAGCCGGGATGCAGACTGGGGTCAACATTGTATGCATTTCCTACTGCTGCCCTAACAAATTACCACAAGCTTAGTGACTTAAAACAACACAGATGGGTCATCTTACAGCTTGGGAGGTCAGCAGTCAGACGCGGACCACACTGGACTGAAGTCGAGGTGTGGGCAGGGCTGTGTTTCTCTCTGGAGGCCCTGGGGTTTGGGGATCCGTTTCCTCGTCTTGTCCAACATCTAGAGGTCACCTGCATTCTTTGGTTTGTGGCCCCCTTCCATCCTTCAAGCCAGCAACATCTCCCTCTCTCTCTCTCTCTCTCTCTCACCCTCCCTCTCCCTCCTCCTCCCTTTCTTTCACTTTTAAGGACCCTTGTGAGGCCATTGGGCCCACCTGGATAATCCAAGAGAATCTTATTTTAAGGTTTGCTTCTCAGCCACGTTTTTGCCATGGAAGGTTAGCCTATTCACGAGTTCTGGGGATTCGAGGGTGGACATCTTGCTCGGCCTGCCACAAACATCGATACTAATCTGGCATCATTGGACATCACTGATACCTTCTGTCCTTCTTCCTTCCTTCCATCCTCCCGTTATTTCGCAGATGCTTCATCTTTTCGTGGCTGCGAACTGAAGCCTAACCGCAAGTCTAAGGGATTGGGTGTGGGCCCAGGGTACTATGAGCTTCCCTAGCTAAATCCTCAGGTTCCTCCTTACCAGGCCTGCTGCCTCCAGCCACGTTTGCAGTCTTGGCAAAGGCCCAGCTGACCCACGAAACTGGATCGTGGCACGTTGGTGGCTTAATGAGGGGGAACTGACAGCGCAGTGGTTCCTACTCTTGCAAAGGGAAGGTCTTAACCCACTAGCCCTGCCGCCTACCTTTCTGGGGAGCCCCGGTCATTTCCTCTACGTGCTTCCACCTCAGCTGTAGTGCCCCCCCAATGCCCCCAGGTGGCTTGCGTGCTAATGACTGTTAGCAAGCCATATCGGACCTGGGTGCTTTGCTTCGATCCAATGTCATTATCCCCGAAGGAGCCCGTACCCCCTCTCACGTGAACAGCTGGCTGCGGCCTTCTAGCAGGATCCTCGGATACCATCACTTGATCCCAAACCAACTTGGAGTCTCATTATTTTCAACCCTTCCCTTACCTGAACCCCTAACTCTAGCCAGTTGGGAGCACTTCCCGGTCTGGTAAGCTTTGCAGTTTTCAGCCTGCCCACGTTTTGCCAGTGCCTTCCCTTCTGCCCAGAAATACCGTCTTCCCTTCTCTTTGCCGTTGGCCCTACCGCGTGTCCCTTCAGGTCTGCTCATTTCTGTCTTCAGGAAGCCTTCCTCAGTGGCTGCAGCCACAGGGCTCTGAGCGCCGGGCTCATGGTCCGTGAGCCACTCCTTTGCCTCGTGGCCTAGACTGACCACGTTGTCCCTGCTGGCCTAAGCTTCCCGAGTGCGGGGACTAGGTCTTCATGTGTGAAGGCCCGTCCCCAAATTATGCCTCTACAGTGGCCGGCCAGTCCGGGTAACTGTTAGCGCACACCCACGCACCCGGGTGCTTCCCCGTGAGGGGCAGGGGCACCCAGGAGGGCCCAGAGGAGGCTCGACGTAGACATTAACGCAAGCAGCGCTGGCTGGCACAGATCTGGGGCCAGGCGAGGAAAGCAGGAAACTCATCCCCGAAGCCTGGGCCGGGCTGGCTGTAATGATGCGCGACGAACACGCCCTGGGCCTGATTATCTTGTTTATTGCAACCTTGTAAGCAGAATTTAGGCATCAAAAAATAAACCAGGAGCAAATACACAGGTCTTGGGGACCACAGCTACAGTCGCTGCTGAGTTGGAGGCCCGGGCCAAGGCCCCGTAGGGGCAGCCCTCTACTATGCTTTCCGCTTCGTGCTCCCCGAACATGGGGAAGGCCAAGGTCTAGTTACTGGATAAGAAGGGCCGTGGGGCTCTGGGCAGCCGCCTCCGAAGTGGCAGTGGGGCGTGGCAGCTAAGGAGCAGCAAGGGCGGCGGCGGGGGTGGGGGTGGGGAGGAGGGGTGCCTCCCTGGGAGACCCCGGAGCGCGCGTGGGGCGTGAGGCCACGGGGCGAGGGAGGGAGGAGCCGCGTGGCGAAAGGAGAGCCCGCATCCGGCCTCACAAGCCCGAGTAGGAGGCCTCCGTGGTCTCGGACCAGGACGACTCCCGGCGGAAGGACGACGGCTGCCGCTGGTGCCCTCTCTGGCCGGGGCGGCGCAGGCGCGCGAGCAGCCCCCACATGCGCTCTCGGAACTTGACGCCCACAAAGGCGTAGAGCAGCGGGTTGAGGCAGCAGTGCAGGTAGCCCAGGCCAGCCGTGACCGACTTGGCCACGTCCACGCGGCTCTCCCGGCCACAGTTGCGGCTCAAGGCCCCCAGGTCCATGAGGGTGTCCAGCAGCACCACCAGGTGGTAGGGGGTCCAGCAGAGGGCAAAGGCCGCCACGACGGCCACGACCAGCCGCATGGCGCGCAGCCGTCGCTGGCCCCGGGACACGAGCAGCACGGCCAGGATGCGGGCGTAGCAGTAGGCCATGACCAGCAAGGGCAGCAGGAAGCCCGCGACCAGCTGCAGGACGCGCAGGGCCGTGCGGCCCCCCTGCGGGAAGTCGTACTGACAGTGGGTGGCGTCGAGGCGCTCGTCGCGGTGGGCCGACAGGAAGATGAAGTCGGGGATGGCGAAGAAGAGGCAGAGCCCCCAGACGAGCACGCAGGTGACGCTCACGCGGCCCGGGGGCCCCCGGCGGTACAGCTGCGTGGCGTGCACGATGCTCAGGTAGCGGTCGAAGCTGATGCAGGCCAGCAGCAGGGCCCCGGCGTAGAAGTTGATGTTGAAGAGGGCCCCGGCCACCTTGCAGAGGCCAGACCCGAAGACCCACTGGCTGGCGGCGTCCACGGCCCACAGGGGCAGGGTCAGCACGAGCAGTATGTCGGCCGCGGCCAGGTGGAGCAGGAAGGTGTCGGTGGTGCTCCGCGCCGTCCGCTGGCTCAGCAGCACGGCCGCCACGGCGCCGTTGCCCAGCAGCCCCAGCACGAAGAGGAGGCCGTACAGGGCCGGCTGGAAGGCGCGGTCGAAGCTCAGGCTGAAGTCCTGCGGGCACGGCGGGGACGGGCAGCAGGACTCGCTCTCGTTCTCCCCGTAGTCATAGGAGGAGCTGCAGTTTTCCAGGAGGAAGGTGAGCTCGGACGCGTGGAACACTTGGCGTTCGCTCATCTGCGGACGGAGGCAGGGAGCGGACCACGTGAAGGCCTGGCACTCACCGTTGGAGCGTTGCTCCGAGCGGCCCCTCTGTCAGGCAGGCCCCGCGCCGGGGCCGTCCCCCGTCACCGGTCCTGCCTTTCTTCCGAGGCCTCGCCTGCGGAACTCAGAGCTTCGTCTGCCGGGCCTTGGCCATCACCGGCCCCCGCCCACCGCCCCCCGCAACCCCGACCTCCGTGGCTGGGGGGGCGGGGTAAATTCTCATCTCGAAGCCAGCTTCTCTCTCACCCTTCTGGGCCACCCCATCAGCCCGGGCATTGTGCGCCCGAGGGAAAGCTGCCCTCCCATGCCAAGCGCCCTCCCTGCCCCCTCTCCCCTCTCCCGGCTCTTCCTTCACCACTCACCCTTCTGTTTCCCCGGCCACGCCTAGTTCTACTACCTTCCTCCCCAGGCACCTCCCCACAGTCCCCTCTCTTAGTCAGTCGCTGGCCCTCTACTTCCCTCCTCAGCCCTTGCCTAGGGACCCCAACTTCCTGCTCCCCAGGGGGCCCCTCCACAAATGACTGAAGCCCCCTCTGCCCGCCCCCCCATCACATGCTTTCAGCTCCTGTTCTCTCCCCTTCCCAAACGCGGAGGCCACCTGCCACCCACTGGGGGTTGCCCCAGCCCAACTCTAGTAGAACTACTCCTTACCCCATCAGCCTGCAAACCACCCCAGAGCCGCGAGCCTTCTCGGTGCCAATTCAGTCCCGCATGGAAGAGTAAGTTCTAACTCAGAGCTGAAGGCAGCCTTGGAGGCCGTCGGGGGTGAGCCTCTACGGCCCGCATTTTGCAGACGAGGCGCCAGAGCCAGACAGGACAGGGGACTCGTCCGCGGTCCCGCACAAGGCGGGGGCCACGGTGAGCTCCCAATTCCCCGGCCCCGGGCTCCTTCTACCACAACCCCTGTCTCGTCTGTCTACTCACCCAACCCCCAGGTGGCCCCGGCTCGGGGTGCGGGGTTGGGGGGTGGGCAGCCCTGACTTTTCCCCTAGTATCCCGGGCTCTGCGCTCTGAGCGGCGTACCTGTGTCCCTCCTGGCCTGCTGGGGCAGCGCTTACCTCCGGGACCGTCGCGGGGCTGGTACTCTGGCTGCTGGGCTGTGTGCTGCCTGCCCCTCTGCTTTGGTGCTTGTGGTCAGGAACTCGCGCTACACAGAGGAAGTGAGGGTTTCACATGATTCTCGGCAGCAGCCTCTTCCATGGGGTTGTCTGTACCAGACCTCCCCAGACCCAAGGCCGCAGGAGTTTCTACTCCAGCCATTCCCCCAAGGCCAGGGGAAGCTGCTCTGGAGGAACTGGCTGCCAGCCTGGAACCAGACAGCCTGGGGTCTGGGGAAGGGCAGGGCCTCTGAGGGGAGAGATCCGAAGGAGAAGCGGCGTGTCTGGGAAGTGGGGGGGGGGGGAGCCCCGCTGTCGGGGGCACGGACCGCTGCTCCCACACTGGGATAGTCAATGCTCGATGCACCTGGACTCGCCTTCATCGGCCCCGGGCTGGAGCGGATCCGTGCGTGACTGTAGATTGCATGGCTAAACGTCTTCAGTCTGTAAAAGAGATGAACCTTCCCGATAAATGAAAATATTTACTTATTTTTAAAGGTTTTATTTATTTGTTTGAGAGAGAGAGAGAGCACGCACGGGGGGAGGGGTGCAGGGGCAGAGAGAGAGGGAGAAGCAGGTTTCCCACCAAGCCAGGGAGCCCGATGTGGGGCTCGATCCCAGGACCCCGGGATCATGACCTGAGCCGAAGGCAGACGCCCAGTGGACTGAGCCACCCAGGCGCCCCTAAAAATGAAAATATTTTAAAGCACTCGATCACATTGAATCTAGTCTTCCACTGTTGCCCCTCCCTGCTAGTCAACAGGGGCCGAAGAAAGGGAACTACTAGTAATGAACTTGGTATGTGCTAGACAGTGCTTTAGGTGCTTTCTCTGACACTGCCTCATTCAAACCACACAACACCCCTGTAAGGTGGGGGGTTATCCCCAAGGCTAATCCAGAACCGGGGTGGGGGGTGGGGGAAGGCCTTCAGCAGACGCAGCAAGTAAGGCTGGGTGCTGGGAATGAAACCACGGCTGTCTCTCTTTTTACCACTCATCCCATTGCCTTCAGTCTTTTTACGTGGATAAGCTAGGATATATTTATGCAGTTAAAAATAAATGACCTGCTGGGACACCCGGGTGGCTCAGTGGGTTAAGCGTCTGCCTTCGGCTCAGGTCATGATCCCGGGGTCCTGGGATCGAGCCCTGCATCGGGCTCCCGCTCAGCGGGGAGCCTGCTTCTCCCTCTGCCTCTGCCTGCCGCTCCCCCTGCTCCTGCTTTTCTCTCTCTCAAATAAATAAACAAAATCTTTTAAAAAAATGACCCGAAGCTCTATATTTTGACGTGGCTGTGGCTAGAAAAATCCAATGACCACACGGTGGAAAAGGCCAGTTATAGAATACATCATGTAGACCTGGACACCACTTATGTAAATTCTAGAAATCACACACAAGAAACAATACCATGTTGTTTTGGAGGCAGCTATTTGTTCTAGAAGTTTAGAACGGGCTGGAGGGGCGCCTGGCTGGCTCAGTCGGTAGAACGCGCAACTCTTGATCTCGGGGGTGTGAGTCCGAGCCCCACATTTTCTTAACAAAAAATTTAAAAAATAAGACAGGGACTGGAGACACTAACAAATTCATGAGAGTAGTCGCTTCTGGGGCGAGAGGGAGGAGGACAGGGTTGGGGAAGAATTCACTGGGGCTGCACCAGTTTCTCTCCCCTCCTGGCCCTTGGCCCTCTGCCCCCTTCTCCCCTCCCTATTGCCCTGTTCTCCTTATCCGCAGGGAAAGGCTGCCCCTAGCTTGCGTCTTGTTAAGCAGTTTCCTCTTTCCCTCTCTCCCACCCAGACGAAAAGGAGAGGCACAGAGAGAGAGAGAGAGAGAGAGATTGAGGCAAAGCCAGTCCTTTGGGGTCTAGTTTTCAGTCAGAGGGCTTCGCCAGAGCCTCCAGGCTCAGGCCTGGAATTTGCCTCAAACTTCTTGACAAGACACACGCTTGCAAGGCAGCGGGCCCTTTCTCCACCTTCTGTGGACAGAAGCTGGGACTCTTCTTGCTCTAAACAGCTTGTCGCCCGCAAGGTCCGGGCCAGCAGGAGCTGAGGGCCCGGGGGATGTCTGAAGGAGCAGTGCGGGTGGGCGGGACTGGTGATTCCAGGAGCCTCGGCAGCTAGGACGGGCTGGACTTGGCAGTTGACTGCCTGCAGAATGAGGAAGAAGGGTAGGAGCTGGGACCCCCGTTTCTGGCTGCCGGCCCGTGAGCAAGAAGTGAGGCTAACAAAAATCTCTGTCTGTTCGACTGAAAGGAGGGTCTCGTATTCTGCAATGAGGTCCTTCATCCCCTTTTTGGTATTGAAAGGATCTTTTCGGTATGAAACGGTGAGGAAAAATAGCCGACGGATTCGGAAACAGCTTGTGTTGGCCCAAGTGGACCACCCGCTGTGGGGCCTCCAAACAGAGGTTGGGAAGTCACGGGGCCGCGTGCCATTTCAAAGTCTAGGCATCCCTGGCCCCCTTCCTGTGCCCCCAGTCCCCATTGGTCACGTGGGGGCCATGCTCCCCACCTTCCCAGGCTGCTGGCGAGGAGAAAGGAGAGAAGGTCGGGCACGAGGTTTGAAAAGGTGCGGAGAGCTTTTCTGAGTTGGGCCGTAGCCTCCCGCGTGGCCATGATGGAGTGGGAAGAAGCCCGAACTTGTCTGGCTCCAGCTCGGACTCGCCCCTGCTCCAGCCGGGGGACCTTGGACAAATGACACACCCATTTTCGCGCCGGCCCCTTCAGCAGGGCTGTTCATGGGATGAACAGAGCTCACGGGGGCTGGAAGGTCCCTGCCAGGGCCCAGCACGTGCGTGGTAGGAGCACAGCGGAGAATGCTGAGCGACGGGGAGGTTGGCTACAGCCTCGGAGGGACTGGGAGCCTCATCGGGTCGAGGGAGCCCCCGGGGTACAGTGCGCTGCCCTGCGGGGCCTGTGGCGGGGTGGCCTCCAGAAAGGGCGGCCCTCGCCTAACGCGCTGGCTTCCGTGCCGTGTCATGTCAGGCAAATCATGCCCCTTCTCTGCCTCAGGTTCCTCCTCTGAGAAGCAGGGACAAGCCCGGTTCGTGTGCGTGATAGGCAGGGCTGCCATGTGGCCGGCTAGGCCTACGCAGGTGCGCGGCCCGGGCCAGGTGCCCGGTGAGCGGCGGGTCCCTTCCCGCAGCGGCGCCTCCCGGGCCTCACAAGGGCGGGTGCGCGCTGGACGGCTGCTTTCCTTCCAAGCTCAGACGCCTCGGGGGCCGGCCCTGGGCTTCGGTCCGCTCCTGTCCCAAGCAGCCTGCAGAGCAGGTCAGGGGCGGGCCCAGCCCTCGGGGAGACCCACCTAGCCTGCACCCAGAGTTCTGCCTCTGCCCTCCCGAGCAGCCAGTGGGGAAGCTTGAGGAGGAAGTTAGTCAGAGCGAAGCTGCTCCGGGCCCCACCTGTGGTCAAGGTGTGAAATGTGCACCTGTCTCTTCTCTGCCACCCATCCCCCTGTTTTTTTTCTTTCTTTCACACCTCTGGGCTGTGGTTTGGGGAGATGGGAGGCTCCGAGGTCTGAGCCCTGGGCCCAGGCCCTCACAGGAAGGAGGGCCTCTACAGCTCTCTGTCGGGCCGGCCAGGGAAGGGGGCCATTTCCTCTTCCTTCCCCTCAGTGTCTGCTGCCTCGCCATGCCCCTTGGGACCCTGCTCCAAAAGCCCGGGGCTGGCGGGGGGATCAGGCTCAGCGAGGCCCGAGCTTCTTGCGGGGCTCAGGCAGTGGCCTCGGCTGTGGTCGGGCCTTTCTTACACGCAGTTAAGAGGAGTCCTAGCTAGCCCCAGGAAGGGGTGTGGGTCCGCCCCAGATGGGGCTGGGACTTGGGGATTCCTTCGGCTGGCCCTTCTCCCCAGAGAAGAAGAGCTTAAGTCACAAGGAGGCCCCGGGACTGGGGACCAGCCCCCCTCCCTGACCCTCTTCCACGGCTGTCTCCTGCAGCTCTGAGCCCTACTGGGAGGCAAGAACATTCTGAGTGCTGGGGCCGTGGGCTGGGGTGAACGCAGTCCGGGCCCGTGAGGGTGACTTCCCAAGCTTCGGGGGCCCTCATCCTTTTTGGGACCAGGGCAAGAGGATGTTGCCGTCATTTGTCAAGGCGATTCAGGTGGTGGGAACAGCAGGTGTGAAGGTAAGGAAGTCAGGAAGAGGCTGTCAGCCCAGGCGCAGTCAGTCTGGCTGGGAACGCAGGCACGTGTGAGAGCAGGAGGGTGGTGGGAGGAGGCTGGAGAACAGCTCAGGACCCAAGCACAATGACCTTCCCATCATCCCAGCCGCAGCAGTGCCTGGGAACTGGTACGTGAAATATCTCCCATTCAGCAAACCTTTACTTTCATACACACGTGTCTTTTATTTTTATTTTTTAGAAGCAGGGGAGAGGGACAGAGGGAGAGGGAGGGAGAGAATCTTAAGCAGGCTCCACACTCAGTGTGCAGCCCAACGTGGGGCTCAACCTCACGACCCTGAGATCCCGGCCTGAGCCGAAACCAAGAGTCGGACGCTTCACCGACAGAGCCCCCCGGGTGCCCCCACATGATCTCCCCTGAGGAATGGAGATGGTGGTTCAGAGAGGCGAAGTGACTTGTCCCAGGCTGGTTGGCCAGTAGGCTTGGTGACAAGATGCCTATCCAGGCTTCTTTCTAATATGCTCTTCTGCTTTTTGGGGCTGAAGGCCCCTGCCCGCAGCCCCCCAACCCCCAGAAAGCACACTGCTGCCCAAGGACTGGTTCTTTTGTTGTTGTTGTTCTTAAAAGTTTAGAGTGTGACCACATGAAATTTTTCTGTTTGTAGGCATGTCAGAAGAAAGCTGAATATTCTTCTAGCTTTAAATGCTTTCAGACTCTGGCTGATGCCTGGTTTTTTAATTTGGTCCTTGGATTCTCCTTCTCTTCTTCTTTTTTTTTTTAAGATTTTATTTATTTGTCAGAGAGAGAGAGAGAGAGCACAAGCAGGGGGAGCGGCAGGCAGAGGGAGAAGCAGGCTTCCCCTCGGAGCAGGGAGCCCGATGCGGGGCTCGATCCCAGGAGCCCCAAGATCATGACCTGAGTC